GAGTTGGTAGCTTTACTCAGGCACTCAAAATTGTTATGAAAGGCTCAGATTATGGTGGAATTTATTACAGAGATATGGAACATGATCTGAAAACCCACCCATCTCATGTTACCTTGTCTCGATTCAGAAGTGAAATCCTGAGATTCACAATTAGCTGAAGACTCTATCTGAGGAATCTTGCAGGACTGCTCCTGTTCCCATTCCTCCACCTCCTGTTCAAGCCTCCAGTTGTCCTCCTGTATGTAATTCTGAAGTTCAAGTGGCAGGGCTTCTACTTCTTTCTGAAAGTGTCCTGCTTTTGCATCATCATCATCATCTGGAGAAAAGCACGATTTTTAGTTAGCAACAAATCATACAGAAGCAGGATAAAATATTGCTGCAAATGAGGAATATCTAGAAGCGTTAAGAAGGACTGATCAAATGGTTTGGAAAAACAAAGTAGTAAACAAATACATTTTCCTGGAATTTGAATTCAAGATGTTGCATAAACAAGGTACGAGAAGATGCTAGATGGTCAGCTCTTTGAGTATGGGACCATCTTTGTGTTCTATGTTTGAACAGAACCTAGCACAACGGAGTCCTAGTCCATGACTAGTGCTCTTATGCACTATGGTAACACAAATAATAACTAACCATAAAAAAGCACATTACCGCATGGAACTCTTGAGCTCAGTAAACCCATTCCAAGTAGCTATCAGGGCTGAGAAAGGGAATAGATTTTTCTTTACCAATGCCTATCTTAATGCTATAGATATGGCTTAAAACGATGGTAACCAAAAATCTTGGGAGATCTGCTTAAAATTCTGCACTTCAAAAACTACATAAAACCAGAGGTAGGAAACAGCAAGGATTCCCAGGCAGGAAGTGATTTTATACATGTACTGAAATATCTAAGACACTGGGGTTAATAAAGGCATTTTAGTTATATAGTATTGCTCAAGAAAAAACATAACTAGGGTAGAAAGCAAGGCGCACTGATTTTTAAATCTTCAAGTTAATCAAATGAATATATCTAACACTAATAAATAATAATGCCCTATCTCGGACTCTTTCTTTTATAAAAAATATGTAAAAGTACAAGGGTCTTTAAAAGCACAAAATGTATATTAAGTCTAATTAAAAGTGCAGGATTGGTTCATTTTAGAAACTAAAATGCCATAGCACTAGAAAGACAAACAAGAACTTGTTTCAACTTACACATTCCCATTAACTAGATTCTGCAGTACTACTTGCTGCATTGTTTGTTTCTATTATATCAAAATGAGCCATGTATGAAATCATTAGACTCTGCTAGATGGCCAACAGCTGTACAATGCCACATGTATGCTAATGCTTGCAAGTAGCTGCTTACACACTCACGCATTGTAAACACACAATTACAAGGATCAGTTATCATTAGTGATAATTCATCTCAGGCACAGGAGGGATGTTAGGCTGTATAAGCGACTGGGTGCGTTGTATATTATGTTACCACTAGCTATCAGAAACCAAATAAAAAAGTAGAACATAAGAACGGCCAGACTGGGTCAGGCCAACGGTCCATCCAACCCAGTATCCTTTCTTCAGAAATTGGCCAATACCAGATGCCCCAGAGGGAGGGAACAAAACAGGTAATCCTCAGGTGATCCCTCCCGTCACCCACCATGGAAACCATCCAGAGAAATAGAGGCTACGAACACCATTCCTACCCATCCTGGCTAATAGCCATTGATGGACCTAACCTCCATGAATCTATCTAGCTCAGTGATTCGGCATCATGCCACCTTTTTGATTTTTGATACACTCTCACAACCCTGCCCTCCCCCTAAAAACTAGCAGCAAAACTTGTTGAGGAAAAAAAAAGGGGACCGACTGGGGCCAAAAAAAGTTGCCCTTTTAAGCACAGAGCAGGCATTGCCCTTTTAAGGTGGCCATTTTGAAGTCTGCCCTGGACACTCATAGACTCATAGGCTGTGTCTACACTGGGCCACTTATTCCAGAAAATCAGCCGCTTTTCCGGAATAAGCTGCGAGCTGTCTACACTGGCCCTTGAATTTCCGGAAAAGCAATGATGCTCTACTGTACAAAATCAGCCGCTATTCCGGAAAAACTATTCTGCTCCCGCTCAGGCATAAGTCCTTATTCCGGAACACTGTTCCAGAAAAGGGCCAGTGTAGACAGCCCACTAGTCTTTTCCGGAAAAAAGCCCCGATCGCGAAAATGACGATCGGGGCTCTTTTCCGGAAAAGCGCGTCTACATTGGCCACAGATGCTTTTCCGGAAAAAGGGCTTTTCCGGGAAAGCAGCCTGCCAATGTAGACGCTCCTTTTCCGGAAAAACTTAAAATGGAATAGTATTCCGTTTTAAGCAGTTCCGGAAATTCATGCCAGTGTAGACACAGCCATAGACTTTAAGGTCAGAAGGGACCATTATGATCATCTAGTCTGACCCCTGCACAGTGCAGGCCACAGAATCTCACCCCCACCTCCTAGAATAATCCTCTCACCTATGTCTCAGATATTGAAGCCTTCAAATACTTTGAAGACCCCAAGATGCAGAGAATCTTCCAGTTGTGATCTGTACCCCATGCTACAGAGGAAGGCGAAAAACCTCCAGGGCCTCTGCCAATCTACCCTGGAGGAAAATTCCTTCCCGACCCCAAATATGGCGATCAGCTAAACCCTGAGCATGGGGGCAAGACTCACCAGCCAGACCCCCAGAAAGTTCTCTATAGTAACTCCTATCATCCCTCCACTGACCTATTATTTTAACCGGACAAACTGGGCTCTTTCTTGGGGGAGGGGCGGGAGGAAGAGGGCTGGGTCGCTTCGGGCCCTCCCTGGAATCTCTTCATGCCCCCCTGCCAAGTTTGGGAACCTATGATCTAACTCTTTTTTGAACCCTGTTAAAAGTCCTAGCCTTCACCACATCCTCTGGCAAGGAGTTCCATAGGTTGACTGTGTTCTGAGTGAAGAAAAACTTCCTTTTGTTTGTTTTAAACTTGCTGCCTATTAAACATTACATTAAAAAGCACCTTTTGTAGTTCAATGGTTTGAGGGCAACACACACTGCACAACTGACTTAGTGCTACCAGTGTCTTTGTTCCAGTACCTGCAACGAAGTGGGGTAGCTTATCATTGATGTACATCAGGCAGTAGGCACTGGCATTCCTCAGGCCTCCATATGAATCTCTCTCTAGTTCTTCCCAGGATGATTCTGTCACCGAGACGTCATTGTATTTAAGCCAGCTTTTCCGGGGCTGGTTGTATATGTAGGCCCAATAGTGACCAGCATTTGCTTGACCCTCATGAACCAGGACAGCATGCAAGCGATAAGGGACCTGAAAATTCACATTGAGATGATTTCTAGGCTTATCATTAATGAATGAAGTATTCTGAATTCCTATGAAAATCTATGAAGACATTCACAATTGTCATATGTTTAAAATTTGTCAATTCATACATTCAATCTCCTGATGCAAACTGATTCTCCTCCCCTTGAGGAGCTCATCTTAAACACACTTCTATCCACTACCAGCATCACTGTGACATCCTAAATCTGACCAGCTCACTGGTACCCAGACCTGCCATATTTCATCTAAATTATCTGATGACTTTCTTACTACTACAGCTCTTTTTAAAATGCTTGCCAAGGCCCATGATGTGCAGATAGGAGTCCTTTGGCTTTCTATTGCTGGGGGGAAAGATAACTGGAGCTTGGTGCCACACCCTCCACAATCAAATCTGCAACAAAAATTCTCAAGCAAGGCGGCCTATAACAGCATACCTCTAACGGAATTAAAGCACAAGGCTGTGAGAGATGGAGGCCTCCTGTCTCCTCTCCCATCCTGCGGCCACAGGGCTTCCTCATCCCCTTTGAGCTTGTGCAGAGCTGAGCGACCTGGGCACAGCTGAAGGCTTTGTGCTGGCGCTTGAGGCTTCAGCCTGAGCTGCACTGCCCCTCTTCCCCCCCGTGCAGCTGCTGGAGAGGAGGCAGCACTGGGGAGGAGGCTCCTCAACGGCACCTTGGCCACGCGGTCTAGGGCTAGACCCCAGAGGCGCTGCTGCCACAGCCACGCAGCCTGGAGCCGGCCCTGGAGGCACCATGGCCACGCATCCCCAGGTTGCCCCGGAGGTGCTGCTGCCATGGTCACGTGGCCTGGGGCTGACCCCAGGCTGCACGGCCGTGGTCGCAGTGCCTCTGGGACCAGCCCTGGACTGTGTGGCCACCACAGCAGCAGGGCCTCCCTTCGGGTTGGCTGGGACAGCGTTGCTGCAAGGGGGCACGAAGCCAGGTAAGGTTCCCTCTCATGCCCAGTCCCTCCCTACCCCCATCCTGTCACTCCCTCCCCCACTCCAAGACCCAGCACCCACAGCTTGCTCCAACACTCTCCCTTGTTCTTGCACCCTCTCTCCTGGCCAGACACCCTATTCCCAGACTGCTTCTGCACCCCAGATCCTGCACCCCATCCCTATCCTACTTGCTGGCAGATCTGTCTTGCACACTGTACTCCTGGTTTTTGTCCCTACCCCAGAGCCTAAGGGGGTCCATAATATCCACTAACTCCAGAACCCCAGAAAAGTAAATCTGGTCTATGGGAATCTCTGAACCTCAGTTCCTTCCTTCTCTTCCCCTCACCCTGTGTCTCAGTTGGGGCCACATCAGTGAGTATTGGGGGGTTTTGGAGGAGTTAGTTTGTTTCTCACTTGTGTGGTCCCCAACTGATTTTTCTGTGGGTCAGTGACCCCCAACCCTGCACCCCTGCCATAAATAAGAGAAAACACTGAAACCTTTCGTGTTGGACATAATACTTTACTTTATTTAAAATTAAGTTTGATAAACTAACATGCAAAAGTTAAAACGCTTAATCTAATTTATAATTTACAGTAAACCGTTCTTACTAGTTGCAGCTGGTTCAGAAAATAAGGTCACCGTACCCAGCAGGGTAGTTCTCAACTCCGTCCCTTCCGCCCAAGGGCCCGTCCCTTCCAAGTGGCCTGCAGCCACTTCCAAAATTTGTGAAGTGGCTCCCCCCTTCCAAAATTATTGCCCACCCCTGTATTAGAGCATTACAACTCTGCCACTATGCAATGACATAGGGAGTTCATCTTTCAGGGTGTCTGATCAATCCAGAAGTCTATAACTCTACAAAATTCATCTTAGCATGTACAGGTATCCAAGTGCTAATGGGAGAAACTAAGAGTGACAAGCATTTATCTTAGATTATATTAAATAAATTATGTCCAGTTTGTTTTCAAGTTCATGGATGCTTTTACTAACCTACTAAAAATACCATTCCAAATAAGTAACTTCCAATCTCACAAAGGCATGTCTTTGGTTTTAAAGCAAAACGTGGCAAAACAAGCATAAGACTCTTTTTTGTCCACTTCCTCTGTTTGTGCATGCAGCTTTTCCTAATATTAATGTGAGCCACAGTTACGCATCAGCAGCACTATATCATTTTAATATGTAACCCCTACAAAGCCATGCTTCCTACCTGACGGAGAACAGGGTCACCATACATTTGATCAATGGACTGGTTGATTCTGGTAATACGGTCCTTCAGATCTAATGAGGAAAACAAACACTGATCAACTTTGTTTTATATAGCGCCACCCTTCATCCCAGACATGGGAGCATGGAGGTAATAAGAATACAGACCCATCCCAACCCTCACGTACACTATTGCAGTTACTGCCTCAGAAGTTAATGGAAAGTTGTGCATGCTTATCTTACAATAGACCAGGGCCCTGTGTGTATACTGCACATCATCTTCTACTATATATTCAAGAGAGTTTGTACATATCTGTCTCTCTGTGTCCATCCATCTATAAGTCCATTCAAGAACTCCTACACGGTAAGTGCTAAAACCATCAAATGTGGTATGCAGCTTCCTCTTATCACAGCTTAAAGTGAGATAAGGGTTTGGTTGTACCAGAAAAATAGGATGTGCCTGGAATGGGATTGCTTCTCATGAAACCAAACAGAAAAGAAACCAAATCACTAGGCAGGTGAAAGAGGGTGGATGGGGTGCACTCCCCTCCAGGACTGCTCCCACCCCGCGCCTCCTACCCCCCCATGCACCCTTTAGGGAGAGCGAGGAGGACTGGCGTGCCTCACTCCCCATTGGTACGGAAACATTTCTGGCTGTTCCCCTTCATCAGGGAGCGAGGGGAAAGTGCAGACTTTGCTGCATCCCTCACTTTGGCTGGGAAATGAACCTGGACATGCACCCCTCCCCTGGCTGTGCCTACTGAACCTGTAGCAGCCATGGAGAGGTGCGTCTCACCTGGCCCCAAGCTACTGTGGGGAGAGAGGGCTGGGCTTTTCCTGTCTCCCTGGGGCAGCCCCACCCCAAAGCAATGATTTAAAACGAAGAAAAACAAAAATTAATTGAGTTAAGGACCCGAGCGACACCTGGTAAATCTTTTCTACGTGATAAATACTTGGGCCAACCTTGCATGTCCTGTTCAGTCTCACTCCTCCAGCGCTGCAGGCATGTCCTCACAAGACTCATCTCCTCCTCGGTGACCACATGAGGAGCCGGGCATTCAGACATTTCCGCTGGTAAATAGGAGGGCTGGGGCATCTTGCTCACACATTCTTGCTGGGGTGAAGGGTTTATCAAAACGGATGCAGCACCTTCAATGCTCTCGGTACTTTCTGTTTCTAATACACTATAAAGCAAAAGCCACATACTGATGGACACTTTCAGGCTGCTGTTTCCAGAGGGCACTCTCAAGTAGATATTGCTTTAAAAATATTCAAGATCTGAACATACAAGTTTCTATGCGAGATGATGCCATGCTTATACTTATTCACTAGCCAGGAAACAGCTTGGCAACATTTAAGCTTATTAAAGTCCACAATCCACAACACTAACAATCCCTTCCTATTTTACTGGAGAACTCATTTATTTGCTTGCTTAAAATTTAGAGCGCAAGCCAACCATGGTGGGTAGATTTGTGGTAATTCAATATTGCACTATTTTAATGACTGATGAAACAAAAGATGATAACACTATGCAAAGATTTTACATAAATTATCTCAAGATTACTGCTTTAATATAGCAGTTTGGCTGTGTTTCTGGAGTGGGAAAAAAGCACTAACTGGCTGCAGAGTGTTAGCAGCACAGATTGGCGGCATCCATCTGGGAGCAGGATATTCAACAGCCTGGCCTATCTTTATTAAGTTTTCATACTACACGTCCCCATGGTTCTAAGTGCCTAGACAACCGAATCACACGGCGTAACACAGTGAAGGGTAACCTAGGCTAGTGCATGGGCTGCATGAGTAGCCCTCCATCTCAGTGGGCTACAAGACTGTCCTAACCAAGACGGTCTCCCCGGAGAGGGTAGTCCTTCCAAATGCTCTTGCGTACCTAGAACTTGCAGGGTGTGCCAACCGAACCATAGCAGTGCTTTGATTGGATGCAGAGGTCGCGCACGGCTCTCATAATGTTGTGTGCAATCAGCACGCACCTCACTTCATGTACCTTTGCTTCAAGTGCATGTCACTTTTGTAATACCGGTAGGAAAACAATTATATGGACAAAAACCAGCAGAATCTGGCAACCTTGTGTGTGGGCCACAGTAAACAAAAAGTCTAGTGGGCCACACGCAGAACCCCAATGGGCCGCAGGTTGCCCACTACTGACTTGACAGCTCCTTAAAGATGAAAGTTCTTTCTTTAGCCAATAACCCTTTTCTTTTCCTCACCTGTTTTGCTGCAGAGGTTCATTCAGATCACAGCACTCAGCTTGGGACTGAGTTGGCATTGTCCGAGAGTCCTGAGCAGAGGGAACTAATGGTAGCTTGGTACTGGCAAATTCACAAACATACTGCAGCATGTCAGGTAATGGGAAACGGCTTGGGCCAGAGCCGTATTGCATGTATCTAAAGAACAAAAGCAAGATCGTAGAGTTCTGTTAAGGGAATCCTCACACAACTCATGTTACGCTGAGAGGAAAACAGTATGAGCAAGCCGTAATTTATGTATTTTAGAAATGTCCATCTGTCTGTCTGTCTGCCTGTTTGTTCAAGAATGCCTTCTAAGTGGTAAGAGCTAGGACCAGGAAGGGCTGGGGGAAGGAGAATGCCCTCCTTTGCCCCAGGAGGGACCAGGAGGGAGGGAGAGCCCTCCCCGGTGGCTCCTCCTGAACCTCTCACACTCCCAACCTTCTGCCCGGAGCCCCTGGAATCCTCAACATCCTGCCCTGACTCCAGCACTCCCCTAAACCCCTTCCCTGAAGGACCCGAGCAACACTGGGTAAGTCTTCTAGTATTTATTATAAAATATAAATGCCTAGTAGTTGCTGGTTATACTAATAACTAATTGTTGTGTTACTTAAATTAAGATCTTGAACACAAATCGCTCTTACTCAATTTTATGCCTTGTTTAAAAAGAAAAACACCAATTCTGGAGGAGGGGGAAAGGTGGATGCTTACCTTTCCAATTTCTGCTGCAGAATGGCTATTTGTTTCCTCAGCTTCCTGGTCTCTTCTCTCTTCTTTTGAATAATCTCTTTACTTCTGTACAAATACCTAAACAAACACCGCCCCCCCGGAAAAAAGTGACTGAGTGAGATTCGTATACCTCAAGCTATGTATGGTCTTTCATTTGCATACATTTCCCTGCTCAGAGACTCACCCAGTGCTCTATTTCTCTAGTTAAAATAAACCAGAGCAAAGTGTGAAGAATCAGCTTTGAAATACATCACAATCTTGGAACATCTCACCTGTCCATGTAAATAGTCCGGGGAAACTCTAGTTTGTTGTGAATCTTCTCTGGCTGTCCTAGTGACTGATTGAACTCGAACCGGGAGAGTTCAAAGGTCAATACTGGAGGAAGCTTCGTAAACCAACGCTGTAAAAGACAAATGCCCCCATGAGGGCACAAATTTTGAGAGGATTCCTGAATGGCACATTGTACATCAACAAGTAATTCTGCCCCAAATAACTTTTTCCCCTCAAACATAGAAAGTGTGTAGTAAATCAACATGCTATTTAGAAAGCCTAATTTTACAAAATATAAGACTTCCACTTTGATTTTAGACCTTCACCATACAAAACATAGCTAAATAATATCCACAAAAATCGATATTTGATGCCCAGGCCACACAGATTGAGAGACAACCATCCAATCAAGAAGCAAAATTAGAGTAAATTGGCAGATGCTACACTGAAACAATGTGAGTAGGCCCAGAGCCTTGGAAAAGGAGAATTACTTCACATTTTCAAGAAACAGCAGCCCCTAACCAACCTCTGTGCACTCAACTACTCTCTTGGTCTATTCAGAAACTGTATAGCGTAAGAGGCGCAGATGACAGAGCCAACTTCCTGGTATTTGGAGTGCTGTTCTAAATGCCACATTGAAAAAGGTTGTTTGCATTTGCATTTATACTTCCCCTTGCTCCCAGCTTTCAAGAATATTTCTAACATCCATTGCAAGAAGAATATTTCACATGTTCTGAGACAGTGCCAGACAGACAGTTCCCTCCCCCTTTTGGATCCAACACTACACTACATTACACTAATACAGCCGGTCCCCGATTTATGAACGAGTTATGGACCAAACACTTGGTTGTAACTCGAAGTGTTCGTAAGTCGGACCCCATTCATTTACATGCGACTGCGCTGTTTGTAAGCACGGATCGCGTTCGTAATTCAGGGACCGCCTTTACGAACGCTTAATGGGAGGTTTGGTCGTAAGTACGAACAGTTATAAATCGACCACTCATAACTCGGAGACCGTCTGTATTGCTCTAAAAGACCCATATCAGAAAGCCAAGACACAACAATTCATCCACACAATAAAAATGAACCAATACTATTTACTCTGAGGACCGGTATTAATGTATACAAAGGGAAGCTGCCATGTATCATAGCCCTTTCGGAAAAAAAAGTCAACCAAACATCCTCATAACAAACAAAAAGGAAATGTTTATAAAACTGTTTTCTAGGTGAAGAAACAGGTTTCTATTTAATCCTGCTACATATCAGACTTCAAAACACTCACCTAATGTCTCAAAAGATAAAATGCACTTTATTTTCCATGTCCCCTATCATGCAGTCCTCTAGTCACGATATCCTGGGAAGTTAAATTAATGAGCACAAATTTTCCAATCACATCTCTTAAAAATAAAAGCAATACTCCTTGACTTATGTCAGGGGTGGGCAAAAGGATCTCCGTGGGCCAGATCCGGCTCGTCAAGCGGCCCTGCTGCTCCCCCACCCCTAGGCCAATTAGGGCCAAGGGGCAGGGGTAAAAGTTGGGGGTGGGCAATAATTTTTTGAAAGGGGCCACTTCAAAAATTTTTGAAGTGGCCCCTTTCAAAAAATTATTGCCCACCCCCAACTTATGTCCTTGTTTGAGACACTTTCCCTTACTTTTCCAGTTAACGATTTAAAGCATCTAAAAGCCAAAGATCTTTCCTATCAAATATTTAGCTCCCTCTTACTCATACTGCCCAAGATCTTGCATTACACCAATCTGACCAGAAGTCTGCATCAGCTGTGTCTGAGTGGTACTAACACAGGAGCAGCAGTTACTAAAGCGGCCCATTGTAAAATTAGATGGGCCTTATAAACAAACTCATCATGAAGCTGAATCTCTTTTTCTTTTTTTTAGTTCAAGTCACTCAATTCATCTTTCAGGCACTCATCTAATGAGTGAAACTTCTTTTTCCCACCTCCTTTTATCACCAACCTTTGCAAAAATTTCTTCAGAGTTGTCTTCCAGCATCCTTTTAATATAACTTAAAAGTTATAAGTTAATTTTCCTTAGTCTGCCTTCAAAATACATGAATCCTTCCATCATTTTATTTGCTCTTTTCTGCAGTGTAATTTATCTATTGCTTTTATATATAAAGTGAGGCTGAATGCTGTGTGTGTGTCTTAACTTTTTACTTTGTCACAAAGTTAAGCAGCTTATGATTTGAGTAATTAAAAAAAAGGAAAAAAAATCAGAACAGGCAGAAGGTTAAGAGTTACAATGAAAAGCACACTAGAACAGGGAGAAAAAAAAAATACAAATTCCAAATGGCATACCATAGAGCTAAGCACTGTACTTTTACCCTCCGAAAATATGGAGGCAGTGGTTCTTCCCTACTCAGGTACAGGTAGGCTTCAATAGAAAGAAAGAGACTTTATCACACTTACATCAGAAGCAGGCACCTTTTTAAAAGGGTAAACTCCTGGAGTAAGTTACATTGGACAACAATGTCTTTACAAACGAACTACGGCGGGGTGGCTTGGCTATCAGCTCACATATAACATTATGTACATTCAACAGATTGACCATGAACTGTTTTACATATGGTGAAGAGGGAATGTTTACAGCCACCATTTTAAGTTATTAAGATACAATGGGACCTCCCTGCACTGCACTGACTTCCTTTGAAGAAGAGCAAATAACACATGCAACCAACCTCTTGTCCATACTTCACTGACTGATCAGAAGGAAGTGGTTCGATTTCTCCTTCTACCATGGCCCCTTCCAAACATTCGTTCAAGTTCTGATAACCGTTTACCTGAAGGGGATACTGGCCAAAGGTCTCTATCTTTGAAAAGGTCTTGCCTGAATAAAGGGGAAGAAAAACACAAACTGCCTTAAAACAACAACTAAAACCTCTCTCCTCTCCAGCATATGCAACAATACGTTTCCTACCGAAACAATAGCTTGTAACACTTCATGAGATCTAGCTGCAAATCACCTGATAGCTTTCATCAGGCAGCAGGTAGGCAGTTTAGCTATAGCATTACCCTAGAGACATTAGCTCGCTCTGGCTCATCTTCTCTCGAGGTGAGAACTTTTTACAATTCTATGCTCATGAAGGTGAGGATTTTAATAGAGGATACTATCCTTTAGAGAACAAACTTCACATTACATTCAACAGCAGCAGGACAACTATATAGAAATAATATTATCTGTATGCCTGCTGTAATATGGGAGAATCAGATAATCTCACCAAGAAACTGCAACAACACACAATGTCACAAACCACATTGTAAATCTGTACTCCAGCATCACTCAAACCACTCAAAGAAAGTTAAAAGTAAAACAAAAAATCCCTTACTTACCCTCGTGGACCCCTTCAGTCAAGGAAGTCCCATAGAAGAGTTGCACCATTGGGTTTTCTGATTTGTCTTGAGGGCTGCTGCTTTCAAAAGGAGAGTGTACACATTGTGTTAGCATATGGGAGAGTTACACTTACCAGGACCGAGCCAGTGTGCCTGCCAGCCAGCTCTCAAGCGTCTTTAAATGCAGAGCTGCTTACTGGTTAATCATGTAACTGACAACATTTCTGTCGGCTACCTGATTACCGAATAAATGCTTCCTAACAACCCTACTAAAAAGAAATTATCCTGACTGATGCAGCAAATTATCGGTTTTTTAGTTTGCTTAAAATATTAATTTAAACCCTAGCATCTATCAACCATTAAAAATCAATTTTGCTGAACAGTAAGTAAAAACATCTCAAACAATAAAAACTTACTTTGCATTCACAGACAACTGGAATGCATCCTCTAGCCAATCCAGAAGCTTGTGTGTGACTTCACTCACATCTTGCTGGAAGAGAGACAGAAACTGGAGTGTGAAAGATTCTAACAAGAAAATGTTTTGATGTAAATAGGTTTTATTAAAATCGCGCACTTTTTCAAATATACTCACAAAACTATTGTGGTATCTTTAACCATGTGAATGAGCTATACGAACTAACTGTTATTACTACTATTCTAGGTCAAAGATGAACACCTTATGAAGCAGTGTACTAAGTCAGAGGAAACTATGCTGAGAACATAGAGAAGTCAAGTTCCAAATCCGGTGGTCCCTACCAGCAATTCAGATAGCAGTGAAGGGACAAATTTCACATTGGCTATTTAACTGTCTTTTTTGTATGCATGTACATTTCACTATCATGTACCTTTAAGAGGTGGTTTTACACACACTTGTAGTTAAAACAGAGACAGGCAATCGTTTGGATTTAAAGTTTCATTAAGTGAAACATGATTGTTTATATCTTTGTTAGGTCTGTTTTGAGAAAAGCAAAGAGACATTTTATCCATTTTACCTGCTGTTCGTCAGGAGATTTAAATGCACCTTTTAAAATTTCCAGTGCGGCAGTCGGATCTACAAATTTACGCTGTGTCCCCAGCATTAAAGCAAAGAGACACTGAAGTTCCTGCATGAATGCAATATTTCTCTTTTCCTGCGTTAGAAAAGAAGAGATCACAATAGTTTACTGCAATTCAAAGTAAGAGCGTGCATTACAAGATGCTCAATACAAGACAGACACATATATGAAAAAGTAAATTAACAGGGCCAGCACAAGGGACAGTAATACAATGGACAGGCTCAGAAGAAAATGTCTTGTGTTAGGAACCTGTATCTCCTTTCCTATGATGCAAAGATATTTCCTGAAAGCAGATTTGGCCTCGAGTCAAGTACATGAGAGAACTGAAAGATTTGCAGTAGTTCCTCAACGTTGAAAATCTGGGATTAGAAGAGGTGCCATAAGTAATATGGCATGCAGAATAAAGTGGTCAACCTGTATTCTAATATTCTGAAGTTCAGACTTGAGCTGGAGATGTTGGGTATTAAGGGGACGTAAGAGGAGACTGAGAACACGGAAACATGTTCTGAATTTCTGGAATCATTAAAACAGATTAACAAGGCATAGATTTTCCACTCTTTCTGCAGTTCCTAGTTTTTGAGAAATGCTATAGCTATAGGAAAGACTCTCAGCCATTTCTGTGACCACACATTTTTCTCAAAGAGCGATTTCCCAGCCTTGTCTACCTGTAGCAAGTCAGTTTTTATAGTCACCAATACTAATTGCCAGAATCCCCCAGAAGGGTCAGGAGTTTCCATGAGAACTCACACAGCGACTTCGACAATTCTCAAGCATACTTTGTGGGAGAGAATAACCAAGGACCAGCCTACGAAATTCCGGCAGCTGGAAGAGAGACTGACAGGAAAGAAGAGTTAAAAAGACACTTCATGGTGGTCAACGCAAGTCTAGACTTGGGACTCATCTTCATTTGCCAAGTCATTCTTGCAGACTTTATGTTTTTCTTACTCACCCCCAAATTCTTGGATGACTTTCTCCTTAAGTAGTATAAACCTTTAACAGTTCTACCCGTCCTGAACACTCAATTCCCTCCCTCCAACACACCTAAATGTTTACAGTAAATTAAGAGAAACCTCTTGGGAAGGCGTGAGGAGCATCCTTCCATTTCATACTGGAAATCTGAATGAGAGGCAAAGGAACCAATCACCCCTACTCCAGAAGCATTTCTGTAATTGTTCCTCACTTTGCCACAAAATGGGGGGAAAAGCATGCCTGACACTTATCTGCTGATGTAAAAAAGCCTGAAGAATTCAATGTGTTGGGTTTTTCTTTCTGCTGTCTCTTTTCATTTTACTAATCACTCATAATAATCACTAATAATGCACCAGACTAGTTTCTTATTAGTGCAAGCATCTAAGCCACTGTACTCCATTAACTGGAATCTGATACAGCATGTGATGTGGAGACAGTGTTCATTCCAGTAAAATTACATGATCATTACTTTACCAATCTGGCTTTCAAGACATTTTGCCATTGCACCATGTCACAGAACACACATTTGTAAATAATAATAAAGACATGAATATATTTATATAGCCTTTTTTCTATATCTCATTTGTGCTCTGATGACCTGGCTGCTGTTTTTGAACAGGATCAGAGTAAAATATGTTGCCACACAAAGAACCACGTACTTTCGATCCTTTTTGTTTAAAATTAGAAGCAGAAACCTGGCAGACCTGCACAATCTGCTCTCAAATTTTATTTCTGTATTGCGGTCTCCCAAAAAACTGCATCCCAGGGTGAAGATACCCAGTTTTTCTTTTTATATTAATATGAAGTTATTGATAGGAATATGGAGAAATACAGAATAGCAAGCTGGCTCACTGTGACCTTGAGAAAATCACCTAACCTCTCTGTGCCAACATTTGCCCACCTTCAAAAAAGCAGAAATTACTTCCACCATGAAAATGCTGCAAAGCTTATTTAATTCCAAGAAATGTATGTTTTGATCATAAGGTGGCAAGTATTACAAACAGGTAAATTATTACTGTCACCATTGCACTACCTGTATGACTGCGCTAAACCAGCATGTATTTCCAATGTTCTTCATGCCAACAGGCCAGTCATCCACTCTCCTCCACTCATTCTGCTTGGGATTCTCCCCCCAGACTTCACACCGTTTTCTTTTGGAGCGATTTTTGTTTTCAGCAGCGTTTGCTTTGTGGGCCCTGTCAGAGAACAAGAATGCAAATGTCACATTGCAAGAAAGCATCACATGTAAGTTGTGTCAGCTTTTTTTAAAAGGACACACACTCACTTTGGTAAGTAAGCTGGCTAGTCAAAACACAGAATAGACCAAAGGAATTGGATGCTACTGTAATCCAATGCTGAACAGGAGACATACATGGATCTGACTCACAGATCGGCATACAGTGCCTACCACTTCCAGCACTACTAGGGATGTAAATAGGTAAGCAGTTAGCCCAGCGGTTCCCAACCTTTTCCAGATGGGGACCCATTTTGACAATTCAGGAAGATTTGGTGACCCAAGGCAATTCAAAAACGGGGAGAGGAGAGAGGAGAGGCACGTGGGGAGACACTTGGCAGCCCTTTTGCAATGTAATGGTGACCCATATTTGGGTCCTGACCCATAGGTTGGGAAACCCTGATAGCCGATTACCCGATAAGCATCACACTTACCAGATGATGCCTACTGGAAACGGGTTAACCGGTGCATGGCCGGGCCCATCACACCACCTCATGGTTGAGGTGTACTGCTCCAACGGCTCTCCCCATGGAGGTGGTTAACTGGTTAAACATATAGCTTAACCAGTTATATTTTAAATGCTATTTTACATCCTTATTACAAACCAGGGCCCCACTGCGCTGGTTATTGTGCTGATAGATACTCATAATCATCACAGAGTTTCCATTCTTGAAGAAGAGTTGTAACTGGTGGGTAAATCAAACAGGGCTTGGAGGAGATTTGGGGGTAGCATGTGTAACAGTACCTCAGGCATTTTTTTTCATATATCTGCACATGAGATTTGCAGACGGAGCGTATTTTATTAGTTAATGAAGACAAATTCAACAAATGCACCCCCGTTAAAAATGGACAAAGTAAATAGGTGTTTAGTAACCTACGTAAAATGAAATGGAGGCAGGAGGTCTCTGTACGGATCTTAGTGGACAGGTGCCACAAACCCACTATGTTGGTCACAAGGGCAGAAGCAGCAGGGACAGGATGGGCCATGAAGGGAACTATCGTCGGTCCTTAAATCTGATATTGTGGTGCTGCCACTAAAGCAGTCCCTCCAAGTCCAACACAAAGTACATAGGCTACAGTTCCCAGAGGGACACAGCCAAAGCACCTTCTAATACCACTAACTGCTCTTAAGTTCAATGAGTAATGTTTGTTTTACAGTTGACAGAAAGCTCTTTGAATAAAGTCCCAGGGTGCATGCATAAGCAAAGAACAAACAAACAAAGTCTTCGTTCACTGACCTGTTAGCATCTCTTTCCACTGCTTGAACTTCTAGAGACTCCAATAAGCTGAGAGCAATGACTGCCTGGAGGTCATCTTTGTTATCAGGTTTTAGATCAATTGCATCTGGAAATTGAAGTGGAGTTATCAGTTTTACGCTAGAAGCAGTGAAACATTACTAAAAAGAAATCCAAGAACCAAACAATGTTAAAGTTTTGCTTCATTAATGCATTAAATCTAAATGTAGAAATATCACAACTTTCTACTGAAAAATTAAATTAACTTTGTGTCCTTTTAGTTTAAAAACCAACCAAATATTCTGTAATCTAGAAGTGAGCTATTATGCACACCACAATGCTATTTAAAGACAGGATTTCCTTGCCTCTTCATTAAGGTAAGCGGGTAAGAAGCAGTTTGGACTGGTCTAAGAAAAGGAAACTGAAAATGAAAGAGCCTTAAAGTTGCTAGTACCACAGTCTCACAGATTCCAAGGCCAGAAGGGACCATCACAGTCATCTAATCAGATCTCTGGCAGGCCACAGGACTCCCTCCACACCCACAAAATCCTAAATCATGTATTTTAGAAAACATCCCAGTCGATTTAAAAATGGTCAGCGATGGAGAATCCCCCACAATTCGTGCTAATAGTTCCAGTGCTCAATGCCCAGTGCTCCCTCTTCGGATTTTCCATCCGGGAGCAGAGTGAGTTTTGTCTTGTGCACTAATATTGAAGTCACGTGCGCTTGTTTGGATGTGCCACTGTGGCACCCAAGTTTTAAACCTCTCCCTTTTCCCCTCTGCTGCCATGTCTCTCATCCTCCCCTTGGCCCCTCTGCTCCCCCGGTGCCTGCTGCCCTCCCACCCCACCCCTCACTCTCCTCTGCTGTCCTGGCTCCTGCCCTTCTCACACCCCTCAGCTCTCCTCATCCTCCTTGTCCAGCCCTCCTCATCCCCTCTGACCCCTGCACCTGCCCTTCCACTCTGTGCTCACCCCTCCGCTAGCCTCCCTCCCCATCCCCTCTCCTAACACCTCCCTGTACCCACTTGCCCTGTGGTGCCCGTACCTCCACTCCACTCCTCTCCCCATGTCTGCTCTTCTGCTTCACCCCCAAAATCCCCCTGGAACCTGCACCTTCCCTTACCCCCTGCACCCTCCTGGTGCCTCTCCCTTCCCTCACTGCCCTCCTTGCCCTCTTCCTCCCTGGTGCCCATCCCCTCACCACGCTCTGCCCCAGTTCTCCTCACGCCCCCTGCACCCTCACCCAAGACTTTGTCCATCCCCTGCCTTCCTCATGCCCACCCCTCCTTTCAACCCCTCTTCTCCCAACACCCACTCCTCCCCCTCCTCTTCCTTCCTCCCATCCCTTCTCTCAACATCACTCTGTCCCCTCCCCTTTCCCACTGCCACTGACACCTTCCCATTCCTCCCAACCCCCGCTCCTCCTGCCCTTTCCCCTTATTGTCTCCTCTTGGTCCCCTGGCATTTGTCTCTCCTCCACCCTTCCCCTTGAGTGCATTCCCCTTTCTTCTCCTGCCCTGACCCCTTCCTCTCCCCTCAGCCCCAGTCCCTTCCTCTCCTCACCCCCACCTTCCCCTTAGTTATTCCCCTGCCCCTTCCCTTAACTCCTGCCATCCTGACACCTGCACTTGCCGGGCGGGGCAGCATGGCGGGCGGCTGTCCTGTGTGCGGGACTGAAGCCGGGGCCAAAGGGTAGTGTTTTAGATGCTGCTTGTAATTATTAGAATTGGGAGCACTGGCTGTTGGGAGTCTGGAAGCACAGGAAACAGTGGGGGAAGGAGGAGGAGATGAGCCAGGGCTGAGTAAGAGCTACAGAGGGGGCGGCAGCAGCTTTGTAAAGAAGTTTCACCTTTGGTAAATAAAGGCCTGTTGAAGTTTGTTAGTACCTTGCTTGCATGATACAACGCAAAGTGCTATTTTTTGTACTGCAGCTTCGGCCCCAGCAGCTGCGGCTCCAGCGGTGCCCAGGGGCAGGGCCACACAGCGGGCAGCTACCCCGTGTACTGGGACTGGAGTCGGGCCATGGTGCTATTTTCAGGACTGTGGCTCAGGCTCCAGCTCCGGCAGGTGCCACGTGGGCCTCATGGTGGCTGCCCAGCTACTCCTGTGGGGAGGCAGTCACCTGCCATGCAGCTCTGTCCCTGGGAGCAGCTGGGGCCGCACTGAGCAGCTCTGCTGAGGGGGTGTGTGGGACTGAAATTCTTGGCGCACGCCTGTGCAGGTGCACACCTTACAGGGAACCCTGTTAATGACCCTCACTGTTAAAACTGTATGCCTATTTCCAGTCTAGCTTCAACTTTCAGTCAGAAAGGTGAAACATGATTCACTAAGACAGACTGAATAACCCATTATTTAATATTTGTTTCCCAATTAAGTACTTTTTGACTGTAATCTTTCCTTAACCTTTCTCTCCGCGAAGGTAAACAAATTAATCTCCTGGAGTCTATAACTCTAAGGCATGCTTTCTAACACTTTCATCATTCTTATGGTTCTTCTCTGATCCCTCTCCAATTTATCAACATCCTTTCTTAACGATGTGCGCCACAACCTGACAGCTTTCCAAAAGCAGTTGCACCAGGTACAGAGGTAAAATAACCTCTCCATTCCTATTTGAAATTCTGTTGATGCATCCAAGGATTGCTTTAGCCTTACTAGTCACACCGTCATGTTGGAAGTTGACATGCAGCTGATTATCCAACAGAACACCCAACTCTTTTTCAGACTCAATGCTTCTGTACACATAGCCTAAAAATCATTGTTCCAAGATGCATACATTTACATTTGGCTTTATCAAAGCAATATTGCTCTGTATTAATGTCCAGTGGTCTTCATTTTTTACCACTCCCCCAGTGTTAGTTACCAAAATGGCTTTAAGAAATAAAGGGGTTTAGTTTGTTAATGTTTTCTGCAAAGACCGGAGTCAAATTCAAGTCAGACACTATACCACTGGTCCTAAACCGAGTCTTAGGAATGCTCAGCCAATTACAAGCTCACTTTGTTTGCCACCTATTTGGGAATAAGAGAATGAAGTAGGCAGCAGTTTTGAAACAGATGGGCCTTAAACAACAGAATAAAATGTAATTGCTTGCCCTCCCCACTCCAGCTACTTGTGAATATGGTGTTTATTTTATAAACCTGTTTAGTGCATAACAGGCAGCTCAATTAGGGGACACAGTTTTTGCAGAATATTTGTCTTTCACATGATTAAAAGAAATTCATTCTAGTTACTGGCAAGTTTAGATTTATATACAAGTTTCCTTATATTTATACTTGGGTTATATTTTTTGTTTGTTTTCAAAGCATGTAATTGCTTTTAAAAACAATTCCCTGGTAATCAAACTCCTAGTTCACAGTAATTTGTCTGGGAGACTGTCATCTGGCCTATTGTCTATGCGCTCTAACTGTCAGTAGCATTACTCAGCCGTGCAGTAACACTAAACAGATTTAGCTGCTGAGCAGCGAGAACCTGTTGAAATGTGAAGTAAGCCCCACCCAGATGTTAAAAATACGTATTTGAGCTACAGATATGTGAAGCATGGATCCCCACCCCCACCAGATACTATATTCCCAGCCAAGCTTCTTGCAAAATGCAGGTTTTGGCATTTGTTTCCAGGAAGAAACTGCAGTAAGCTATGTTTAGGGGGAAAATCAGTAGTTATTTCACAACAATTAACATCAGCAACACAGCTGTGAGTGTGGTAGCGATTGTGTAATATAAAATGCAGATGGGGCATAGGATATTTACCTAATGCCATCAAAGCCTGTCTATACCAGTTGCTCTAGGTAAAATGTTAAAAATCAACTAAGCCCTATTGACTATCAGTGGGCCTTGGTAGTGCCTGTGTAGCTCATTGTTACTCTAACATCAGTATCATTTATAGTACAGACATACTCACAGATACTTAGGACTAATATCCTACTGGTACTTGGAGCACTAGAGGCTAAAGTAAGGTCAAAAATTGTCAACATGTGAGTGAATGAAGAACTACTTCTCTAGTAGAACGAGAAACTGGATAGAAGTTCTTGTAATAAAAGAAACTGGTTGTTCCCAGGCTGCTAACAGGCATTTGTAGAAAGAAGTACATGTCTTAACAAGGATGCTCAGTTCTCTAAGCTAAGGCATAGCCTTAAGGTCACAAAAGGTGCTCAGTGCTGGGGGAGTGATCAGTGAAAAACATGAGCCTCCGGGAACAGCTGTTGCAAATGAAGTTTTCTTATCAGACAACCGATTTTAAAAATAAAAATAATGTCAGTCAGGCAAGTGGCCTGAATGCTGCTTATGGCACTACATTCCAGTCTTCGGTATAGTTGTTCCTTACCTGAAGAGTACTAGAAATGGATAAAAAACAGTGAGCTCCTTTTGGCTGAGTTACAAAGCCTTCCCCAGTGAGTGCTTTTTAGTCCCAATCCTGGCTAAAGCCCTTCAGAAACCAAACTATTCTAACCCTGTACAACAAGGCCACCTGTATTTTACGTGCTGACTGGTGGATGGCAGGACCTTACTTAGTGATTATTTTATTTCCTTCTTATCCTTATGTTGTCATCAGCAACCAGTATTTGCTAGTTCTACCATGAAACTCATGGTTCATGAAAGACAGGACATTTTGCCAATTACTTAAGAGGTGTTTACTTGACCTGGGAAAAAATGTCAGCTTAGTGCAATTACTCTCAGAAACACTGGTCATACAGAATCTGACCCCATGAGCCTGAAGAGAGCCACAGAAATAAAACCCCACTGAACACTCAAGAATCACTCTTAATATCATTCACCTGAAAACAAACAAGAGTTAAATAAGATTATAAATGAGAATCAGATTAAAATACGCAGTTAATGTCAAGGTAAGGATGACAATTACTGAACAATCTGTTACTGCTAGAATTACACGTGACTGTGCCATATCCAAATTCTAGATGAAAAAGTATGCTGTAAAGCAATGAACAAAGAAAAAAAATCTAAGAGTCTAGCACATATTTGTGCAAGACAAATGAACACTGTCTAATAAAGAGGTCCATTAAATTGAACCCATTTTGAGCAACATCATATCCTGTTAAACCTTCATATTCTTTAACCACTTCACTTAATTGACATTGGATTCAAATAGCAAGGACTCCCTGCCACCTGAGCTGTCTCTGGCCTATGCAACAGAAAGGGTGAAACAAAAAGGAGGAGCTATCAAGTGGACTTAGTTATTCCTTGTTGCCTTGCTATTGAAATTAAAAGTGACAGTTTGTCAGTTTGGTGAAAAGGGGCTAAGCGAGGCTTATATGGGGCACAGGACCTCCAGTAATTCCTTATTAGTGGTAAACCCGTAGCACTTTCTGAGAAAGAGCGACCACAAGTGCACACAATATTCCAGATAAGAATAAACTACCTACTGGTGGGTAGCTCTTTGCCCACAGCACTCCCTTCACAGTCAGACGGTTCCACAGCAACGGCTTCCTGGCCTGGCTCGTTAACATGCTCCTCAGTAAGGAAGGTGACTGCATCTGTTAGGTCGCCATTAGCCGCCTAAGAGGAGAAAATGGGGAGGAGGGGAAGTAGGGAACGGAGGAGGAATTGCCAAGCATTACTCTAGATTCTTTTATATACATCTGAGTGAAAATAAACACCATCTACATGAAAGAGAACACGGTAACAGCAAGTCAGATTTCAGCCATGGGAAAAAACCGACTGCCAAGAAGTTAAAATTGTAAATCTGAAATTTCTCAGATGATAAATAGTTAGGATTCATCCTTTACCATAAGTATCCTTAAGTCAAACCTGTCTCCCTTAAAAGAGATTAGAATAGTCACAGGCTCTAATATCAGCACACACCTAACTGTAAGCACATGAGTAGCCCATAGATATGAGACTACTCATGTGCTTAAAGTTAGGCATGTGCTTAAGCATTTTCTTCAGCTGAGGCAATATTAATGAGCGTGAGCACTGTGTCCTCAAGAAGTGCGGTCCTCTGAACTGCTTTATAACTGTAAAGATACCTCTACACTACAACTCTACTTCAAAATTAGAGCTATTCCGAAACAACTTAGTTTGCATCTACACAGCAGGCAGGTATTTCAAAATAGTGTCAAAATACTGTCAAGCTGGAGGACTTCTTACTTTTGTGACCCTCACTGTACGAGGAATAAGGGGAGTTGGAGGAAGAGTGCTCTATTTCTAAATAAGTGCTGTGTAGACGCTCCCTATTTCGAAATAAGCTATTTTGAAATAAGATATGCAACTGACGGAGCCCAATTTGCGTAGCTTATTTAGAGTTAAGCCCTGCAGTGTAGACGCACACTAAGAGTAAGTAAAGGCACTACAAGAACCACATGCTAAAACACAGACAGTAGAGCCGGTTTCACAGGAGAAAGAACTTACAATAACTCGGGTAGGCCTATGACGATTTAGGGAACAAAGCAATGTTAAAATGTATTAGCAAAAAGCTCTCTCTCTCCCAAAACTCTGTAATCAATTAATTGTCTTGAATTAATCTAATATTTTACAATTCCCACTTGAAGAAACATCAAAGGGATGTTTTTGTTTGCTATTTGTTAATTTCCTACTTTTTAAAAAAAGGAAAGGTCTCCTCATGCACAATCAGCAGCAACAGCCACCTTCCATCTGACAGGCCTCAAGAGAAGGCCTATCTCCTATGGTTCCAGACTGGATAATATTAGTACTACACTACCTTCAATTCCCTCCCAATTTTCTGTTTCAATTTATAATGCACATTGTGATTTACAAATAGGGATCTTTCCAGAAGGGTGTTTCTTATTTTTTATTACTACTACCCAGTATTCTCTCTTATGCCTCTCTTTATAGCATCTGTTGTTGTGCTCCCAGTTCTGGAAAAATGATCACAAGTCTGAAAGCACAAACCACAAGTATGTGGTGGATGTTTCAGCTGTGTAGAATTGTGAAGACCATTTAGCTGAAGGAAAACATACTTTACACCACATTTTTATTTACTGTTATGCTTCAGAACATACATGAAAAAGCCCACTTAGGCCAAACATCAATGTTTCTCAGAAATGATTATAGCATCTCAGCATAAAACTCATAGTTGCAGGTTCTTCTAGCCTACTGCTGGAAAAGTATGGGAATTGCTCCTATTGTAGTTTGATCCAAAATTTAGAAGAATGGATATTCATCCAAAGAAGAGTTACTCTCTTTCAGCCATATGCTGTACTCTTATATCCACCCACGTCGGGGTTTCATGTATTTAAAACAACAAAAATTAGACAGGAGAAAACGTAATAGGTGACTTGGTCCATCCTCCTGTATACAAGATTGTGCCCTATAGCACATATTCTACTACTTTTGTCAAGTCCAGTTTCGAGCATTTAAAAATCAAGCAGTGTTCTAATATTTGCATATTACAAATGCCAAACAATTATTTGGAGTTCAAAATTTACAGAAAGCTCTTGAAATCTTATATACAGATTAAAGCTCGAACTAGCACAAGCAACAAGACAAAGTCAGCAGAGATTTCCACTCAACAGAGCAATGACGACACTCACAGCATCTCACAAAAAACATACTAACCTTCAGGGCTGCATGAAGAAAGGAGGAATCCTTAATTCCTGTGATTTCTCGCAAGCGGTTTAAGAGCATTTGCCAATTCTGTATTACAAAGGACAAAGAAAGCTCATGTAAGGAGGTGAATGAAAAAGACACGGAGCTTCTGCCACGCTTGTCAGGGGCTCACTTGTAATTCTGATTAACACAGTGACGCAAGACTGAACAATCTGAGATAACGACACTGTCAGACTTCAAGCTGAATAGTTTAGAATTCTTCCAATTTACTTTCAGACTAATATTAATTTTTGTCCGTATTTAAAAGAGCACTTTAAATGGCCTGAGGAGAAACGGTAAAAATACCAATAGTTACACTGGGGGGGAGGGGAGGCATCAGGGCCCCATGTAAATCAATCCTCTCAAAAGAGAAGCAGCATGTGCACTAGGACATATAAGGAGCCCAAGGAATTTATGTGGGTTTGGTGGGGGGCTATTTTAAGCCTTGTTACACATGCCACTTGTGTGTGTCACTTCTCACTTACAATAAGGGTGCCAGAGATATTCAGCACTGTGGACCTGGAAAATCCTCTTCCCCTCCTCCGACAAGAAGCGCTGAATTTTTGGGTAGCTGGCTGCTTGTTGGTTGAGTTACCATCCCCAAAATCTTTCTATATGGTGACTACAACCAGTCCCTGACCATGAGAAGCATTATTTTAGGTTTCAACTCTCTCTCTCTCTGGTTAAACATTAGGAATAAATTAGGTCACAAAAATAGAAATTGCACATCTATGACCCTATGCACGGTTCCTCAGGGCTTTATTCCTTATATTTACTGTGTCTGAGGTTTCTATGGGGATAACAGGGCAGTCTGGGATGTGGAGCTGTCAATATGGGAATGATATGCAGTTTCACAGTTCTTTTTCACTGCATTTGGATAGTGTATAGAATGTCTACTTTTCCAGGGCTTGGCCAAAACAGGGGCTTTAATGATAATGAGACTGATGAAGTTGAAACTGGATAAGATGGAGGTGATTCTGGCTGGTTGCAGAAGCAGCTCAAGAGCATGGTAGGGACAGTATATATGCTCTTTGTATGTTGGGAAGATAGACACTCTTTGTCAATTAAGTGTGCAACTGAGAGAAGCTCAAGGAGCAGCAAGGGATCAGAAGTTGCAGATGGCTTTGGTGGCCAGAAATCTTTTTTTCCAGCCTGCATTTGGTTTCAAGTTGAGATCGATTCTCACTGTTGAGAATCCTTTTCAGAGCAATCCAGGCCTATACAACATCCAGAATGGATTATTGGGAATAGGTAGAAAGGGCTGCCCTTGACCGCTAGAGCTGGTGCAGAAGCTGGCCTGCTAAAAGTTATTAACTCCAGGGCGCTCATTACACCTATTTTTTACAGATTGCACTGTGAGGTCCTATTTCCTTCAGAATGAGTAAAACAATATTAGTCAGGAGGAAAGGTCTGCATTTGGTCTGTCAGATCTGAAAGCTTAGGGTTCCCACAGCAGAATGGGGGAAAGACTCCTTTCAGTCTTACAAGTAGGCAAAAGCATTCATCCACTCCAAAATGCATGAGGATAACTGGACAAAGAATTTGTGGTCAATGGAGTAAGATACATGCCTGAATGAGCATGGTTATATTTTTTTGGTCAATGTCAAACTTGAACTTCACCACACAGACACAAAGTGACATAATTATCAAAATTTGCACAAAGAGTAAGAAAATGCTGATTGATACTTTATGAGAGTTTGATTTACAGCTATTTTCTTTATATATTTTGACATATGTTGACAAAATGTGTTTTAACGGGTATAAAGCTTTATCTTTCTGACTCTCAATACCTAGTGTCATTAAATAACTATTGGTTTGGTGTCCCATAATTTCCTGTAACTGAAAATCAGAAAAAAAAATGAAAAAAAGTTTAAAATAATCAATATTACCCATAAAAAATTACCAAAAAAGTGAATTCTGCCAAGCCTAATGATAATCATCCACTACACATCTGAAACCTAATAAATGTTTCATAAGACCTAGTTACTTTGTATTAACTACCAGTTCTAGAATAAACACTGAAGCAAAGGACTGTCCTTTTGTAGCAACAGTCATCAGCTGTACTGTCTAAGCATCCCAAAGCTATGAATAACTTTAGAGACAGAAGTGAGCTGGGGGAGGGGGAGGTCAATTCTTCATGAAGAGTCAGAGCTCTTAATTATTCTAGTCCATGACAATTCTTCCTTCTTAAGAAACATTTCAGCTCAGCAGCCTTCCAGCTCTATCATTTGGTTTCTTTCAACTGGAATAAAAGAAAAACAACAAATGGTCTGGTAGCACTTTATAGACTAACAAAATATGTAGATGGTATCATGAGCTTTCGTGGGCACAGCCCACTTCTTAAGATGATTGGAGTTTTACCAGACCATTTGTTGGTTTTTTCTGTACAGACTAACTCGGCAACCCCCTGAAGCTTCTGGAATAAGAGAGTGAGATACACTTTTGTAATGCAACCATCAGGAGTGTAGGAAGGATATTAGCAGGGGCAGATGACAGTTTTGCGGGGCCCCGGGCAGCGTAATTCCACGGGCCTCCCCTTTGCCACGGCGCATGCACAGCGGCGCCACCGCGCATGTGCGGGGCTTTCTGAAGCGCGGGGCCCGGGGCGGGCGCCCCGTTCGCCCTGCCCTATATCCGCCCCTGGATATTAGCACCCATAAAGAAATCCCCACGAACATTTGACATACTGGATGTTAACCAGGCTCTTTCGGAGCCCACCCTCAGTCCTATCCAGAAAGTTTAATCTCACCAACATGTGCAATTATTTCATCCTAAATCTACTGCTCTGTGATTCCACTGTAAGATTCTTCCCACTGTCTGATAAAAGTAAATCTACACATTCAGATCTAATTGGAATCATGTTTTCCTATGAGAATTAAGCAAGTCACCTTTGTTTCCAACCATCCATCGAAAGCACAAACAGCAATCATTCAAATGATGCTCTTTCACTGTGAAACATTATAAAATACAGAGAAACACCAATGTACAGAAGGCTTTAAAGAAATGGGTGAACCACAGTGCTTGCCCTGAAGAGCTCACAATCTTTATCCATTTCATAATCTACTATATATAAAAAGCTAAAATGACAAAAATAAAAAATTATTGAGAAAGCAACACTCTTACTGCTCACCCTCAAATATACATTTAGGTTAATTCTTGAATCTAAACTCTCCCCAACCCTGAAGCTAATCATGAGAGAAAAGAAACAGGAAATTCTTATGACTACCAGCAGTACAATGGGAAATTGCATGCTGATCAAATGCCAACATTCTGAGGATCAGGGTTGAATACTTTCACAAAAGCAAACCAATTATATCATGTTGCTAATTTTGCAGCCACACCAAGTTATAGTCCTGTTGATTAACTTTTGCTCAGCAGGGCATTTTGCAGGGGGAGGGAGGGGAGAACAAGGAGAGGACCAATTAGTTTTTTATGGTTCTTTGGGTGCTCTGTGAGGACACATTTTACTGCATTAGCATGTCAATCATAAGACAAGGGTTTTAGCAACTGAAGGCTTCCTCTACACAACATATTTGAGAGGACTTGTGTTCATGGCAAACAAGCACTGGCAAGTGCCAACAAATCCACACTGGCGTATTTAACTGTCATATATATTAAACAGTTTAAAAATCACCACTCTATTCTGACTGTTTTGTGTTGTGCCACTTTGGAAACTTGACATTAGTAAATGAAACAATTATAATATATGGCAGCCCCAGGAACATGCTTGGCACATTGCAAGAAAGGGAGTCCCTGCCCAGAAGAACTTACAATATAAATAAAGTCTATAGCAACAGAAGAGGACAATAAACAACACGTGGCTGACAGAGGGGAAGATGATGGTGTGGTCAACTAAGTAATATGGCTACTAACCCCCGCTGTTGACCTAAGCTACGTCACTTCAGCTACATAAATAGCGTAGCTGAAGTTGACATACAGCCTCTCCCCGAGTTACGAACGAGTTACAGACCAAACATCTGGCCATAACTCCATTTGTTCGTAACTCGGACCCCATTGAGTTACATAGCGACCTCGCTGTGTGTAAGCATGGGTCGCGTTCATAACTCGGGGACCGCCTTCACGAGCGCTCCATGGGAGCTCTGGTTGTAAATGCGAACGGTCGTAACACGACCATTCGCAACTCGGGGACCGTCTGTACTTACTGCAGTGTCTTGCAAGTGGGAAGGTCAGTGGGGGCTGATCTCCTGTCAATGCTAGCTACTCTTCTTGTCCTGGTGGAGTACCAGGCTCATCAGTTAACCATGTACATGTGTTCACTATTGCATCCCTAGTGTAGACAAGCCCTTGCAAGAGATGAGAGTCCTAGATTTGTTGTTTTAAAATGACTAGGGCATATAAACTACCTGAACTATTATGCTTTGAGGAGGGATTTAAAGCAGGAAAGGATAGAGGCACTGGTTCCAGAAAGGAACTGCAAAAATAACAGTTTGCATGAAGCGGCCTGCATGGAAAAAGCACGCAAAATAGGTGGCCTTTACCCAATGCAGTTTTACTTCACATTTATCATTCTGGGAAAATAGATACTAAAAAGATTAAAAATGTACAGATAGATATTAACAACCTTTCCAGCACTTGTGCAGCAAGATCTTATGCAATCCAATACCTAGCTAGACTGAAGGATGAAAATAGCTGGCCACGGCTTTAATGTACATCCAGTCTCGTACAATTTTGACATTAGGACAGCATAAAAATGTACAATTAGAAACAAACAAAATCAATCACCTGTTTCCCCTGATTTCTCCAGTGTAGAACCCATAAGAGTTAGAATACACCACAGCAAAGAAGAGAGGAAAGGAACAGCTAAATTATCTAAACAATGTAGGTGCCCTGAACATCCTGTATTGGGCCCAATTTTTATGAATGTATTCTAGGCAAGTCCCTGGCCTTTCAAACTTAAATGAGATATGAAGTAAATCTATTCATGTTCTCTTCATGTTACAGATGTCTATGGACATACATACAGTTTTAATTAAGTCCTTTAAAGGCAAGCAGTACAATCTACATTCACAAAAAGACTTTAGAAGGTG